GCACCTGGTGGCCCCTTTCACCAAAAAGAGCCATAGCCGGTCAAAGTCGTTTCTTCCCTGGGTATGCCGATTTTTGATTCCCTTGACTAAGAACTGACATTCTGGCCAACAGGAGAACAATCGGTAGGCAAGAGCTATGCATTGAACCACTTCCTAGATACCTCGTTTGCGGGTTCGGCAATGAGGTGCACAGAAGGGGCTTGGATGAGTCTCACTGAAGCCGATGACTGCGTAATTGTTGCACTAGATTTTGAAGGTACAATCTTTACCAAGTCCGTCAGGAGCATATTCAAAGTACCATTTTAGGGATTCATTCCATTGAGCGCAACGTTCAGGAAGATATGTTGCTTGTCCTCTTCAACTCCGCCATGTCCAACATGGTGTGTCATTCTAGGAATTCAATCCTAGCAGTACACGAGATTAACAACTAGTTAAGGTCCTGTTCCGCAATAATTTTGCATTATCGCGTGACATCGCTGGTAAGTTTTCCAAACAATCCTTGCTTTGCATGGTTCTGACCCTTCTCTCAGGATTGTTCACGGTACGTTTCCCGTATGCGCGATGGGGGTCTATTTGTGAAATTCCCTGAGTGCCTTGCAGAGCTTCCAATCCTGCGCAGCATTGCTCGACCCCGCTTCAAATCCCCAGCTCTTCGGTTCCATTCTCTGCATCATCATCAAGGTATGCATGGAAGATATCGCATGCATGTATTTGCTCACATGGTGCTATGCCAGGACGTCGTGGATAATGATGCTGCTGACATTGTCCAGGAGCAAGTCTACACCAGCATCTGATTTTCTTCCCTTATTCGTTTAACAACTTTCACCGATAGGTTCTCTTCCAAGTTTCGGGCCATCGTTCAGCGTGAGCGAGAAGGCAATTTTATCTCGAAGCTCCATCGAGGAAAACTGGATATCATGCCTTGGCCAGTAATCGAATCGCCTCAATTCTACACGCTGATGAACACCTTGAAAGCTCGCTTGGAAGAACAAAACTCCACTCACGGCAGCGTTTCCATGTTTGTTCATAATATGAAAATCCTCATGGCAAAGCTAAGGGTTAGTAGTGCCATTTTCAGCTCCCTCCATTCCCGATGGTGACTAACGATTGTGTAGGCGAGCGATTGGGGCGCTATTGACCGTGAGTAGTATTAATCTATACGCAGATATTATCCGACCTTATTCCAACAGATAATCTGGCTACACACCGAGCCCGTGTCCTAACTGGTCGCTTAGAGGAAGCGCTGCAATTTGGAAAGCTGTTGACAAACGACGAGTTGTCCGAGCTGAGTGTTAGTGATTTACCCTTCGCATGTCACCATCTCTGAGACTGGATTGCGATGCTCCTAGAACCTGGACGATTTCTCCATCATCGAACATTCAGATACGGCGACTCAATTTCCCTTCCTTATTGGCGGTGTATCCGATGGATCATTGAGGGACGAGACGCTCAGGACTCTTGCTACGGTGTTACAATGCAATGTCAACCGACAAAATCCGCAATGGATCATGGCTCTTGGGGAGTATATTAACAACCTCGTGGAGCTAAGGGTCAGACATGTCAATGACTGGGTTGATTCCAATGTCAAAAGATTCGCTGTCGATCATGCCGACATTCAGATCCTGCGTCGTCAATTTGGGAACATGGCTCGACAACTCCAATCTGCCATGGAAATCTGTACCATGCCGTGTACACAGTGTCGGCTGGGTTGCATCCGCGGCCGACGGCACGACGGCCCTCATGATTGCTTTACAGACCATACCTGCCCCGAAAAATGCACTATGGACAGCTCTAATTGCGGCTTCTCGTGAGTTCCAAGCTAGCTCTAGAGAAGCGAATGCTAACGCATCTGCCCAAATAGAGCTGGCCATGATGGGGAACATTTGTGAGAACCTCGACAATTCGGCCTCTGTGTGCGCAGTAACGTCAATCTACCTCGTAATTAGGTGTAGCGTCGCGATTCATTTGTGCGGGGAACCTTGCAAATTCAATGGGAGGCGCGGTTGCCAGACAGCTTGTGTTGAGGTTGGTAATATATTTAATTGGTGCACTGTAAAGCGCTGAACAGGATTATAGCCTCGTGGGCATGCTGGTGATGAGCATGTATGCTCTGCCCAGGTCCACGAGTGTGGCTTGCCTTGCGACTTGGCTCACACGTCCCCCGTACCTCTCTGCGATCAGCCGTGCGTCAATGACTGGTATGACTGATGATTTTGATGTATGTGAACAACATACTAACACTTTGATACAGCCGCCGAGGACACGAGCGCCACGTTTGCGCAGTGCGTTGTTCCCTATCTCCCCTTTAAATACTAATGGCTCAGACTTTCTCTATACGTAACAGAGTCGGCTCACCTGCCCGGTCACCTGCCAGCTTTGTGCACGCCTGTGCACGGTCGGTGATCATTTCCACGCATTGTCCAACGATGCGGTTCATCTGTGTGGGCAAGTCATCGTCGCTACAAATGTTGTCTCACTCCATAACACTCACCTGCTATAGGCAAGAGCATTTGTGCACTGAGAATTGTTCATCTCCCGGGATCTGTGACATCTCCAGCGTACCATTGTCTGTGGAATCAACATTCATCGGACGGAATGAAACATTTCGCTTTACTAAAGTGTGTTCTGATCGCATAACCCAGCTTGACGCCATCTCTATTCATTCATTCATATTTCGCAGTATACTCAAGAGTCTAAACGCCTCCGCTGTGTTGTTCCAATCCCGCCCAACGACCTGTACCATTCTGGCGAACACACGCACTCCCTCAAAGCCCCAGTATTTCACTTCTGCGAAGTTCGATGCCCTTCATGTCAATACTTTTGCACCCTTCCGCTCGGTCAGTCATCAGCAATCTGACTACATGGTAATGCGCTAATTGATTCAGGAACCCACAATTATCTATCCAGGGCATCCTCAAGATCTTCACGAGACATCCCACGGGTCAATGGAGCGCTCAATGTGGGCGGTCGATCAGAAAGGCTCCGATCAAGGTGGAATCGAGATTCAAGGGCATCATTTCAGCAGTGGTGACTCTGGCGCGCCGATGCTATGCTCGGTGGTCTGCTCATCTAGACCTCGCCATATCCATATCGATTATTGCAGAGCCATTGGTGGGGCATGCAATGACGTTGAGGTCGAGCACATCGATCAAGCTATGCATCCTCATCCTGAACGTGAAAAGGACTGGATAAGCCATCGATTGTTCTGGGCTCGCTCTGGTTCGTAATTTTCTCCGCCTCGATTTCCGACGTGAACAATGCAGTTTTGACTATACCATACCCTGATAGGTTTCAAAGGTACTCAATCTGCTTGGTTTCATTCTCTCTGCCTAATTGCTTTCATCAACTAGATCCTTATTCTAGAGAGGAACAAGATGAGTTCAGCAAGTGGTACGTTGATCAGCCAGCCACTTTGATGTTGCCTCCATATGCTGACTGAAGGCTACTAGTGACGCGTGCTGTCCTGGTATGTGAGGATGGACTCATAACTCCTATCCTCCAGCTCACGATGATCTAGATGAGGAGCACAGTGATCGAGTAGGAGCACCGAACGGGCCATCATATTGTGTCCTTCCATTGTTTCACGAACGGCGCACATTGAATGCCGTTGTATTGGCCCCAAGGCCGTCCTTGGAAGGGCAAGAGCCATCACCAGCCGATGGTTATATCAGCGCGGATGGCCATCGGTATCACTGTAAAGACCCTTCCACTGGACACGGCGCATACCACATGTAAGACTATCACACTATGACAGCACATCACCTCACTATTTTTTCCTCCACAACGTCCAGAATCTTTGCTCTCGACTACTCAGGTTCAATGAACCGCCGGGATCGGCAGCCGCTCCAAAACACTCCTGCAACTTACAACATAGCCCAAGTTTTCCCCAATAGATTTGGCGCCGTTCTATCCGCACTATATAGCTTCTTAATGGCTCGTAACGCAAGCCTAAGCAGCGCAGGAGGATCTCGTCGAGATTGGTATTCAGTAATCTTGTTTGATAACGTGTCCAAGGTGATCAATGCTCCAAACTGGAGTTGGTGTGATGTCGTAAGTGCGTTCACTGATCTGGTAGAGACAGGTGGTGCTACAACAGGACGACAATATGGATCCAAATGAAATCCTCGAAACCTTGCTGCACGCAGGCCGTCCTGGTGGAGGAGGCACAGACTTCACTCAAGCGATATTCACTACTCGACGCGTCATGAACAACTCGTGGTCAGATGATCAGTAAGACAATTTACAAGCAGATATATATAATCACACGTTCTCACGCCCTTCAATCAGCCAACCTGTAATCATTTTCCTCTCCGATGGCGAGGCTCCATTGCCACAAGATGAGATGCAGGCCTTATGTGAAGATTCGGCAGATAGGGGGTAAGGGTTTATCCTGCCATTGAATGGGCTGTAGTCTGATAGTGGATAATCATAGCCAACTTCTTTCGTTCTACTCGGTGGCCTTCGGTAGCCACAGCGAGGTGCTACAGCATATGGCGCAGACCGTCGCAGCCTTTTCGGCGCGCCAAGTCCAATCCGGAGCTTTTCCGAGCGCCCCTCCTGCAGAGTTTACAGGTGCAATTGATACGGTGAGCATAGGCAGTTCTTTTATTTGAATCATACTTAAACAAGGGCGTTCAGATTCAGCTTGCGGAAACATTCCTCAATATTGCGGAATCGATGCGAACCACTCGAGCTGCCCTAATTCGCTCTTGACCATGCGATTTGTACGCATATCCCGTGGTTGCTTAGTGCTTGTCTCCCCTCCACATCTGCTCTAGTCGTACAGTTTGAAGAATGTAGTATACAATACCTCAAAAAATCGCCAGCTCCAAATTGTCTTCGAGAAACCACGCCAGATCCATGTCAAAGATCATGATATGAGAGTTGCTTGATAGTCCGTTTGGGGCCATATAAGAAATGAGGATGAGCTGTTTTCAACGGCCTACTTCCTCACAAACCCTCAAAAATAATAATATAAAGTCAACACTCTTCCCATATCAGACGGCTTAGCAAAGTGGTTACTGCGATTGATTAGAATTTAATTTGATGATCAATTCCTCTTCGAGGGCGTAGGTTCGAATCCTACAGTCGTCGGTTCTTTTGCCTGGCATTTTAAATCCTTTTTCCTTTTCATTTTCTGGCGTGTGGAAGCCTCAGAATTTCGCGTGGACTTGGGTGAGTAGATGATTGCGTCGAGGACAACACGAGTAAACACGTCATGGAAAATCGTCCA